TGATCCTAATATGTTGTTTACTAAATTATTTAATAAACAACCAAATTAGAAGCAGTAGCACAGCTGTTAGCTTATATTTCCCAAATTGACTTTAGTTTTTAAACTAAAGTTGTAGCAGAAATTGTTGATTCTCTGAATGTGCCTGGGTGTTGTTTGTGTATGTGCGTGCAAATACACGACAATACATTGATCAGCACAGGTTAAATATGTAGAATCCCATTTTGCCATTTCTGTCCATTATTATAAAATTACTATATTGAGATTATGCAAAAATAGAATATAAATTGATTTCCTTTCTTCATGTTTTATCCACAGTAAATCATAATATCTAAGAGAAATTAACACACACACACACACACACACACACTACATACATGAATGCAAAAATCTATTAACATATATACCATGTTTCCCGAAAATTTTCTTTTTACCCTTGAAATAAACATTTGGACTTATTTTCAGGAAGCTCTTATTATTTTTGAGGTGCAGGAGGTGGCAAGCATGGTAAATTCATGGCAGCTGCTGTGTTGCAATATTTTCGGGGAGGGCTTATTTTCAGGGGAGGACTTATTTTAGTGCATGCACTCAAAAGCTCGATTGGGCTTATTATCCGGGGAGATCTTATTTTCGGGGAAACAGGATAAGTACCATGTTTGGACAGGTTTCCTGCTCCTTGCAATGTTTGCCTGTTTTTGGGGGGTGGGTGGATAGAAAATGGTACATGAGGCAGATTGTTGGAGAATTAGAATGGACTCACTGATACATTATGTAAAAACCATAGTTTAAAAATACTTATCAGCATTCTGTACCTAGCTGTGTTGACACAAGCTTAGGCAGAACAATCATAAAAGTTCATGTCAGGTCACTATGAACGCATATTAAAATTACTGGGACTTGCATCAGTAGCTAAATCCAATTGATTTCAGTAGGTTTATTCTAATTTTGGATTCAACCCACATTCGTCTAGTTAAAGTTTATAGACTGCCTCATAAATATGAAGTTTACGGAGTATTAAGATTCCTCCCCGCAAAGAATGACATTATTTATGCTGATGCCATTTATCAATTGCTTGTACTTGCTTAAGCTGGTGTTTTAGTAATTATATGAGTTAAGACAATCTGATCTCATTTTAGGTACTCTGGAAGTTAGGCTTATGGGTTGCCAAGATATCCTGGAAAATGTCCCTGGTAGATCAAAAGCAACATCCTTCACTCTACCTGGATGGAGTCCAAGTGAAGCCAGATCATCATTCATGAGTCGAACAAGTAAAAGCAAAAGTGGCAGTTGCCGAAACCTCCTGAAAACAGACGATTTATCCAGTTCAGTACCTTTTTAATGTTTTTCCCCTTCGTTTTCAGAAGCACTTTTTATGAAATCTCTTAGGAAAAGTAACTATATTGTAAAAATAAACTCAATTTAATCAAATGTTTTATTACGATTGTGTTTTAAGGTTGTGCAGTAGTTTGAATTTGAAAGTAAAAAAAAGCACTTAGGGGCACCCATTGCACAACTTCTGTGGTTGTCTGTAAGTCAGTAAAGCAGCCAGGCCCTTTCCTGGATTCATTCATTAGCCGAATGATTCTAGCAAAAGAAATATTTGGTTTAGGGAGTTTTGTACCTCTGGCACTTCAAACCAATTGATCGTTATTATAATTAAAGGTACACACTACTGAATGTTAGCAGTAATTCACAACAACATGGATCTCTATGAAATGCCCATGGTAAAATAAATTAAGTCCAGTAATAATACAATACACAAAACATAATGAGTTAAGAATCAGTAAGATCCAGTTTTAGATTTCTTGGCACTCAATCCCAAAGTTCCTCCCCAAGAATGTAGTCTTCACTGACTTCTAGGCGGTCACAATTGAGAGGGCAAGCCTAGCTTTTAGACAAAAGCTATTTCACAATATAGGTGTCATAAATTGAAAAAGAGTGATTTCTCAGTCACTAGAGATAGAGCTATGAAATTTCCTCTCTTGTAGTCAGAAAGCGTGACCCGACAAAAGCGCGAACGTCATAAGCGCGCCCACAAAACAGCGGCGCTAAAACCGCGATTTCAAAAGCACGCCGACAACAGCGCGTCGACAGAAGCGCGATTTAAGTTAAGGTAAGGTTTAGGTTAGGTTTAGGATTACGTTACAGCGCGCTTCTGTCGGAGCGCTTTTGTCGGCGCGCTTTAGGGCTAATTCGTCGCTCATTCGTCGCGCGGTTTTGTCGGCGTGGTTTTGTCGGCGCGCTTATGACGTTCGCGCTTTTGTTGTTCGCGCATTTGTGGTGGAACCATCAGAAAGCAGGCTTAGATGTTTGTATTGAATGGAGAGTGATCCTCTTCACTACTCTTTGGTTTTCCTTCTAGAAAAGTAGGAGGGCTTTTTCCTTCTCTGCTCCATCTTGGACTGAAAAACAATCTTTAATTAAACAAAAATGAAAGCCCAGTGGCAGAAACCATTTGTCTTATCTTGCTTAGGATAATTTTCCCCCCTTTTTTTTTTTGTTCTTCTGTCTTTGCAAACTACACCAGGAGGCATTTTG